TGAGTTGACTTTGAACTGACTATCTCTGTCACACTGTGCCGACTTAGGGTTTCAGATCACCGTATGTCGACTTTTTGCCGCAACGTGTTGAGTGGCGTTGACCTAGGGTTACGCGTTGACCGGCGTTGATCCTAGGGTTTCGAACGTCGAACGTTGACTTTTTGGTCGCAACGCGTTGACTGGCGTTGACCTAGGGTTACGCGTTGACCAGCGTTGACCCTAGGGTTTCGAAAGTCGAATGTCGACTTTTTGGTCACAACGCGTTAACTGGCGTTGACCTAGGGTTACGCGTTGACCGGCGTTGACCTTAGGGTTTCGAACGTCAAATGTTGACTTTTTTGTCGCAACGCGTTGACTGGCGTTGACCTAGGGTTACACGTTGACCGACGTTGACCCTAGGGTTTCGAACGTCGGCAACGCGTTGACTGGCGTTGACCTAGGGTTACACGTTGACCGACGTTGACCCTAGGGTTTCGAACGTCAAATGTCGACTTTTTGGTCGCAACGCGTTGACTGGCGTTGACCTAGGGTTACGCGTTGACCGGCGTTGACCCTAGGGTTTCGAACGTTGACTTTTTTGGTCACAACGCATTGACTGGCGTTGACCTAGGGTTACGCGTTGACCGGCGTTGACCCTAGGGTTTCGAAAGTCGAATGTTGACTTTTTGGTCGTAACGCGTTGACTGGCGTTGACCTAGGGTTACGCGTTGACCGGCGTTGACCCTAGGGTTTTGAAAGTCGAATGTTGACTTTTTGGTCGCAACGCGTTGACTGGTGTTGACCTAGGGTTACGCGTTGATCGGCGTTGACCTTAGGGTTTCGAACGTTAAATGTTGACTTTTTGGTCGCAACGCGTTGACTGGTGTTGACCTAGGGTTACACGTTGACCGGCGTTGACCCTAGGGTTTCGAAAGTCGAATGTCGACTTTTTGGTCGCAACGCGTTGACTGGCATTGACCTAGGGTTACGCGATGACCGACGTTGACCTTAGGGTTTCGAACGTCAAATGTTGACTTTTTGGTCGCAATGCGTTGACTGGCGTTGATCTAGGGTTACACGTTGACCGGCGTTGACCCTAGGGTTTCGAACGTCAAATGTCGACTTTTTGGTCGCAACGCGTTGACTGGCGTTGACCTAGGGTTACTCGTTGACCGGCGTTGACCTTAGGGTTTTGAATCGTTCGGTGTTGATTAGTGTGGATTTCGTCGAAATATCCAACAACCGACGAAAATAGGCAAATTCGGGCTTGAAAAGGACATTTGTGAGCATACGGGGATCAACCGAGGACCGAGACACCCGTGGGTGTCTCAACCTTGGCCGAGACACCCTAGGGTGTCTCGGTTCAAAAACCGAGACACCCTTGTGTCTCTCTCCTCTCTTTTGCATAATACTCTTTTTCCCCTTTTTGAACTTTCCTTTTTTGTTATTTCCTCTTTTGTTTTTCCCCCTCTTTCCAAATTGTCAAAACTCCTTCTTTCTTTCATCCATACACCATTGTTTTCTCCCTTCCAAGAACTCTAAACCCATTAAAACTCTTCCCCTAAAATTCGGATTTTTAGCATCCCCTCCTTGGCCGAAATTTCCTTCCTCTCAACTAGGGTTCCCTCTTCACCCTCAAGTTCAAAGAAAGCTTCTTGGTTTTGGGTAAATTTCCTCTCACAAGCTCTCTTTTTTTTTGAAAAGATTGTAGCTTTATGCTTGTAATGGGGGTATAACATGAATTTACTTGCCAAGATCCTAGCTTTTTGTTCTCATGGGTTAAAAGATAGGCTCTTTGATGATGGGTTGTGTATGCACAAGTATTTGGGGGTTTTATGCAAAACTTGCCATAGGGCCGAAATTTGGGGGACTTTTATGCAAAAGTGGACTAAAATTTGAGGGTTTTCTATGCAAATATGGACTGAAATTTGGGGTTAGAATTCCATACCCATTTGGCCAAACTTTGAGAGGTGTTTGTATGCAAAGAATCAATGTTGTTTGAGGGGTTTATTTGCAAAAAGCAACCCAAAATTTGTAGAGGGGTTTATTTGCAAAAAAGAGCTGAAATTTTAGTGCTGAAATTCCAAAAGTTTAGACCACAAACCCATGACCAAAGTTTTGATAAAGGCATGCGGAAACTAAACCGAAATTTGTGGAGGGGTCTTTTTGCAAAATTGGCTAAATTTTACAAAAGGGTTTATTTGCAAAATTAACCAAATTATGGGGTATTGGATGAACACATATGATGATCATGACCCAACTCGAGTGTATCCTTGACTAGAATTTTAGCCTTGAATACGAGGGGTATTTTGGGTATTTCACCGAAATTTATCATGATCATTGTTTTGCATGCACGAAATTTGTAGGTTTAATTAGACCTCAACTATAAAATCCTATTTATTTATAGGATTTTAGTTAAAGTTCTTAATTTTCCTTTTAAATTTCGCGTATTCAAATTCATGATTATACCTGACCTGCTGATTTCCATTGCAGATTCTCGATGTCTCCACGTCGACATCGACTTCATAGGAGTCGTTTCCGTTCGCAGCATAGCGAGGGAGAGGTTCCCACAGCGTCCTCTCCAGCGGCATCCTTTTTCGGGGGTGAGAATCTATATTTTCTATTTGTATCCCTGATTGATCCCTTCGCGGGTCATTAAGGAAGAACCGACATCCTCCTTCGCGGGGATTGAGGTTTCAAGATATTGGCGGTTCCAAAACACCCTCGTTTGGCCCCTTCGCGGGTTATTCGGGAAGGGCCGACACCCTCCTTTGCGGGGGTTGAGGTTTCGGACTTGTTTTGCTTAGCCAATTCAAGTCTTCTGGTATGTTGGGGCGATTTTGTGTCGTCTTACACCTTATAGGTCGGTGTATGTTACCACGTTATTTACGTGATGATGCATACCGTTCTTCTGGTGTAAGACACTCAAAATCATCTCTCCAATTACCCCGTGGACAATCTTATCTTGGTTTTTTTATTCATGGGTACCTTTCTGACTCTGTCCTTGTTTTGTTGCAGTCGAGTTTCCCACGGACAGTATTTCTCCTCATGCTACTACCGGTTGTAGTGGTGAGGTTTTCTCTTCGGCTTCCACCAGGCAGGCTATTGGTCCACTCCCCCAGTTTGATGATGATCGTTCCGACGAGTCCTGTCGTTTGATATAGGATGGGGGACGTCATTGCTTACGCCAGCTGATCACGGATGCTCCTTTTACTGCGGATTCTATTTCTACTCAGGCTTTAAAGAAGCCTAGTTTTCTGTTCGGAGACCATATTGAGGATCCTGCTAAGTTGATTCTTACCAAGGAGCATTGGCTGAATCATGACGAAGGAGCTCTCTTGTATATTCCTTCCATTCCTCGTCAGTATTCTTTCACTCATTTGGAGGGACAGGCCGTAGAGAGACAGATGTCCTGGCGTCTTACCGATGATGTTGATCGAGTTCATTGTGGATATACCTCCCACCACAAGACTCCTGGTTCTATTGGGTATCACTACATTCGCGGTCTTCGACCAGGGATCATGGGTCTTAATACCGCACCCCCAGGCGAGGTATCAGCAGCCGCTCCTACTGTGAAGAATCGTTTGGCTCATCTTGGGAGGAGATTGCCTCCACCAGATTTTAGATGCTATGGTTGGGCTTTCTCACAGCCCAAGGGATGGTGGACACGCATGACCAGTTACGTCTTAGGGCATTGGGAGGATAATTTGAAGAGCAGTGGATTGTACACACCTATACGAGCCACCATGTATGGACTCCCGGTCAGCTATCGCCATTTCTTAGCGTTATTAGAGACATACATGCCTGACAGTAACACGTTCCTGACTAGCGGCGGAGAGTTAGGGTTGGCCTTGCATGAGATGCATCAGGTTTCTGGCCTTCCGATGGGGGATTGTCCGTACCAGGAGTACTTTCCCTCGAACCAGCAATTGGAGTGGCTGAAGAAGGATACTCCCGATATGTACTTGCCAGTGCTGAGGGAGCTTTTCCTGCAGGAACCAAGTTTCGTTCGTTCCTTTGTCGTGCACAGAAGTTCATTGAGCCCAGGACTCTGCTAGCAGGCTATCTTGCCCTCTGGTTAAAGAAGTGTGTTGTTCCGTATCAGCTTTCAGACGCCTTACCTCTCGAGGTGCTCTTCCCTGCAGTTCAGCTAGCTTATGGGAGGGAGCTTTCCCTGCTCCCAGCGATGGTTGCTGGTATCCATTGTGGGCTTAGGCATCTGGTCAATGGTTTTGCGCAGGTGGGTTCCGAACCGTCGGCCGAGCTTATTTGTGTGAAGGTCGAGCTTCCTTATGCGTATCTGATGGCGTGGCTTGTTCTTCACCGTCCTGACTTGATGTCGGCGCCCAACACTGTTGATGTCGCTGTTCCTTTCGTGCAGCTGTTGGAGAGGAGCAGATGGCTCGGGAAAACATTCAGTGATGTACAACGAGAGCTTCAAGTTCGTAAGAGCTGGGAGTTCTTCAAGTGTTTTCCTCGCTTTTCGGGTCGCTATGGTGATGTGCTGATTGATGAGGAGAAACCCAGAACTAATCGGACTGCTCTTGACGTTGGTTGTTTCCGCTGGTTGGTAAACATCCGCGTTGGGTATCTCGTTCTCCGGGTGAAGAATCGTTGCCACATAGAGCCTTACCTTCCCTGCCGTTTTGCTCGTCAGTTTGGCTACGACCAACTATATGTTGGGAATCCGAGCCGTGGTTTGAAGGTTGAGGGAGGGCTTATTGACGGCGTTCGGGCATGGCTATGGACTATGGTGGGCTGCACTGGAGCTCATTTTGCTCTTCCTTCATCTAGGCGTAAGCCGTTGATTACTTTCCTCAGTTGCAAGTGGTTCCTTTATGCCAATGAGTCCATAGGTGTGAGGATTCTTTCAGAGTTGCAGTCTGACCACTTGGTTCAAGTCACTATGATGGCTGCTCGTAAGGCTGAGCTTGCTAGGAAATAGGGGAAGAAGCCTGCCAAACCTTCTCTCTCGAGCAGAGACAGGATGGAGGACGATGAAGAGCTCCTTCCTACTGACGATGAGGACGAGACTTCTGAGGAGGAGTATGTGGATATAGATACTGACAAAGAAGAACTTAATGCAGGTTTGTCATGCTCTTTAGCCTTCTTTCTCAATTTCAATTGGTATCAACGAAAGGTCTTATTCACTTATCCTAACGAAATGACTCTTATCACCCCAGGTAGGACAGTCGATGAGCATGAGTCGCTCGCTTCTCGTTATGCGAGATCCAGGCCTAGCGACAAAGCTCCTACACAGGTTGAGACGCGTGGCAAGTCCGTGCACGAACGACCCGTTGGTTCTATGAGGGCTGGTATTCCGAAAAAGAAGAAGACCGCTCATAAACCACACGTTGGTCGGCGCCCCTATGGAGTGGATTTAGGAGACATCGCCGACGGAGAGGAAGGTGATATTTTATTGTCTTTATTGCTTTAAGATGGTTTACCTTCTGGGATTCGTAATCATGTTTTATGTTCCAGGACACTATGGAGAGAGCGAACTTCCACCGGATCCTGTATTCCCTGGTTCTGATAATCTGGATAGCTTCATGCAGCAGATGTGTGACGACATTCGTGACGATTCCATGGAGGTCGATACGAACCTTGATACTGAGCAGGTTAATAGCGTTGAGCCCGCCATTCTATGTTCAGGTATATCTAATTCCGATGATACCCTCCTCGAGTAGCATTTAGAAGAGTTAGGGAATTCAGGATTCATTATTTTTTTGTGCTTCGCTTTCTTTCAGGTAACTTGAAGAACCCAAGCATGGATATTGGGGAAAAAGAATTTTCTGTTCCTTCTGCAGGTACCTCTGAGCTTTTCCTTCTTTCCCCGTCTTCTTATACATATATCCAACACTTAAATTATTCTACAGATGTCGTAATAGAGAAGCCAGTTGAGGATGAGGCCTTTCATGATGTAGGTTTCGAGGAACAGGGGTGTGTCTCTGCACCAAGTTTCTCGGGACCCGACATTGGATTATTAGTCGACATGCTGGCTGAACAGGCCACCAGAGGAACCATGGGACCACCCTTTGAGGCTGATTCATTCACAGGTATATATCTGATTCCCTTCCTTTTGCCTGATCTTTTGTCTGACTAACGAAGGATTAATATTACAGTACCAGTCATTGGGACCGATTCAGTAATGATCCCCGGCATATCTAGTTTACCTCGGAGTGACGGACTTGCAGGTATGCATACGATCTAGGACGTCGTGCTCCTTTTCATTTGTCTGATTTTTTGACTAATAGATGGGTGTAATCATAGGACCAGCCACCGGGACCGATACTCTTACGACTCCTGGTATTCTCCGTGTACCTGAGGACGATGGACTTGCAGGTATGCAGATGATCTTATCATCCCGATTCTCCTTATTTGTCTAAATTCCCATTTTGACTAATAAAGAAATGTAACTATAGGACTGTTCGTGGGAAAAATTGTTTTCTTCATTAATGTCATTGCACACTCCTTGATAAAAGTTAATCGGTTACAAAGATCCGGTCTTTTTATAAGATCCGGTCTTTTTATAAGATCCGGTTACAACGAGATCAAAGAAAAGAAGAAAGATTACACCTTTCCTTTCGAACGAATCGCGAGCTCCTGTTTTGCGGTCACTCGCTTTTGTGGGTTCTTCGCCTGCGCTGGGGCTTATCTGTGGACCACCGCGTGATCTAGATCCGGTCGGATCTACGCAGTATGACGGGTATTATTTCGCGAAGGAAATAATAGCCGGGGGGATTAATTCACCAAGGAAATAATCGCCCTAATTCTCGGGATCAAAGGCCAAGCTTTGATCCGGAGCACACCTGTGTAGATCTGAGATCCGGTCCTCTCGAACACCTGCCTTATTTGGCGTTGACGATCGCCGAGCACCGGATCTGGAAGAGCAAGTCCTCAAAGTCCCAAAGCTTCAATCTTTTTTAGTTCTGAGCCTTGAATCCAGCAGAGCTTCGCCTCCAAAATTTCCAACCTTTGACAAATGAGCCTTCAAGTCCTATTTATAGGCACCTAGCCACCAAAAGGTGGCTGGGGCATCGAGCCACCAAAAGGTGGCCGGGGCACCTAGCCACCAAAAGGTGGCCGAGGCATCGAGCCACCAAAAGGTGGCCGAGGCACCTAGCCACCAAAAGGTGGCTCGGTTTTGGCCGAGTCCTCCAAATGTTGGTTTTTTTTTGTTTTCCGGTTTATCCGAACTCTGATTTGTTGATCTGAACTCTGATTTGGTAGTCTGAATCCTGATTTGGCAGTAAATCCGCTTCGGTGTTCGAGTTTGAGTCCGGATCCTGAATTGGCAGTCCGGATCCTGAGTTGGCAGTCCGGATCCTGATTTGGCAGTCTGGATCCTGATTTGGCAGTAAATCCACTTCGGTGTTTAACCTCGTCGCCTCGATGGTTCGTTGGTTTGTTGAATCACCGTGCCGAGCTGTGTTAAGGGACCTATAAGCAATTTTATACGCCTACAGATACCCCCTCCAAAGTATTTCAGCCTCGTTCTTTTATAGAAGAGTCTGGAATACTTTGGATATGATTATCCCATTCTTCGATTGGTTACGACGGGATATTTGGAGTGGCTTCCATTCTTGGTTCCTTCAGTCCCCCAGGCTGTTCGGTGCTTTGTCGAATGTCTGTAAAGGTTCCGGTGCTGCATTTATTGTCTGACCGTTGTCAGAATTTTAAACTTGAAGTCGATTCCTGATTTTCTAATCTTTAGCTGACCATCGATTGTTGGCGTT